AGGCGCGGGGGCCGCAGCGAGCGCGCTACTGCCCCTGCAAAGCGTCCGGAGGAGCTTAAAGCTCCTTATAGAGCGCTCAGGGCCTCCCGTCCGTGCCTCTTACTAATGATGATGTGTGACTGCAACAGCAGTGATTGCTGCTGTAAGGTCTTCACCAAAAGGTGTACTGATTCTGTAATAAAAACTGCCAGAAGACGTGTATAAAATTCATACTTCGGTGTCACTTTTATTTGTGGAGGGGGAAATTAACGCACTTGATGCAAAACAAGGTCCTTTAGATCATTTATTTTCTGGTTATCATGTAACTTGAACACATAAAATAATTGCCTTAACCTACCTTAATTATACTAGGTAGGTATAATTACCTACCTAGATATTAATTTGAAGGTCAACAATGTTTTTTTCCTACACACATCTCATTAATATCTTTCATATTTACTAAGATTATTGTAAGAGATTCACCACTGTTACCTGTATTGAATATCTATTTACTCGTGAGGCTCTACCAGGAAGGTTTCCTAGATGAAAAATAAAGGAACTCTAGGAATATATGGACAAAATTGAAAAACTGTGTGGTGGGATTACAGATAATTTTAATCACTCATTTTCCTAGAATTTGTCTTCGTGGTTTTATCTGAATTGCTACTTGATATGCTGTCAGAAAAGGCAAATCTCTGTATTTCTTGAAGAGGAGGTTCTCTCTGTACTCAATTTCCGCTTTTTGTAGCCTAGACCTTCAAGCAACAGGAGGAAGCAGGAGGCACCAGCCTGCACCTACAGGAGCTAATTGCAACTGGTGGTGTGTAAAGGCTGCAATTAAGTAGTGGTTCCTGCAATAAAAACAATAATAAAAAAACTGTTTATAATTTTATTATTATGCAATAATAACAAAGTAGTAACAGTTACATGCTTAGCTGAGTAATGAAAGAGCAATGTGCAGTTCCTCGAAATAACCATAATCATAACCCACCCAAATCAATTTCTAAATAAGCTATAACAAATTATTTATAAATAAATAATCTTATCCTTAAGTACTACTCAGTTACTGAGAAGTCCCATTTCAGCTGCACCAGGAAAATGCATCTTGTCTATTCGAAAACTCCGTGAGTCGCCGGCCCTTTGGAAGTCTCAGTGCGGAGGGGGGCAAGGCAGAGCGATGCCGCTGAGGAGGGGGCTCGCGCAGGGCTAGCGGCTCCCTCACCTCAGCCAACGTCGTCACCTTTAGCTTTCAGATCGGTTCTGGCCTCTCATGTTTGTGGAGAAGAACATCCCGCTTTAAAACTCCTCCGTCCTTCCGCTCTGCAGAACGTGGTTCTCTCCTGAGCCTGAGGAGAGGCCCCCTGAGGGGTGAGCGCTGCCCGCTGAGGCCCCTCCGGCGCGGCACAGAGCAGCGGGGACACGTGAGGAGGCCTCGTGTTCCCCACGTCGGGTGAGGGGGCAGGAGCAGCGCGGCCGGGCGCCTTTGCGGCTGGACTCTCTGGTTTCAGTCTCTGGCCTTGTTTCATCTTTGTATAACAGTTGTGTTGTGAAGGGTGATGCCTCCTCCTTCACTGTGCTCAGCCGTGACAGCTGGAGGCTGGGGAGGTAGCTAAGGACTCCCCAAGCTTTTCTGTTCGTCTCCCGGGTGGAACTTGGGAGGCGTGATCATTTCCAAGAGGCCAGATGTTGGCAGTCGTGATGGAATTACGCTCTTGTTTTCCTAGGCTTCACTTTTGCTTGCTCCCTAGCAACTCTGCTATCAATATTTCTGGCAGCAGCTGCTTCTAACTGTGTTGAACTTGCTCTTCGTTCTGAATAGGTTTCTACACTGCGCTTAGCACCGAAAATAACAGAGCTGCCTTAGTGGCAGGCACGGTATAAACTCATCTTCAGGACTGCACCGGCCTCCAGAAGGATCAGCCATTTGCCTACAGATCTTACTGTTAACCTAGGAGCTTACAGGGCAATTTGTACAGTCCCTGAAGTCTGAAGCGACTGATGGTGTGTGTTTTAAAACGTTGCTGCTCATGCCGAGTGCCAGGCTGAGCCGCGCGGGTGGGTTCTGCTGTGAAGAGAAACCCACAGGTCCAGGAGCGGAGCCGTGGCCCCGCACGGCTCCCTCAGGGCGGGCAGCAGAGGCCCCCGCAGCTCCCTGCTTCCCAGCCAGCCATGCAGGACACCCAGAGCGCCCGTCACCTCCGCCGGGACGGCAGGTACCGCCGCTCCCCGAACCGCCGGCCTGCCTGGTTCCTCTTGTAATCTCTTAGGACTGCTCTCCCGCTGCCTTCGACCAAAAAATATATATATATATATAGAAAGGTACAGGTTTACTCTAAACACTGAATGTGCTGAAACAGCTGAAATCAGTCGATCATTATACATCTTTATCAGGAATTTATAAATTTA